AATCCTATGATCTCTCCCCTACAGTTTCCCAGTATCTAAGGCTGAGGCAGACTACATGGCCATGGGAGCAGGCCCAATCCTATGATCTCTCCCCTGCAGCTTCTCTAGTTTCCTAAAGGGCCCCAAAGTGCTAAATTTGCCTGGTCATCTGGGACTGCTGTTCAGACCCAGAGCATGGTGGGGTAATGAATGCGTCAGGTCCCCTTCTGGAGGTGCCCTGTACTGGCCTAGTCCCCAAGCCTGGAGAAAAATGGTCTGGCCCGACTCCAGGATGTCGGGGAGGGGGGGGGAAGAACATGGAGTGGGTATAGTATGGCAGTAGAAAGGGGGTATTGGGTCACTTCCTCTTAGAATTTTAGGGCATAGAACGAAGGGCTACAGACTAAACTCCAGAAGCATCTATGCCGGGGGCTGTGCACTTTCCCACTACTCCCAGTGGACACATTCTGGGGACTGAGTTGCATGAGGGCCAGCAGAGGGTGGCAGGTCACAGCCTGGTCCCTGTCTTCTTCTAGCCTGATCTTTTCTTAGCTGCCATACTTCTGAGCTTCTCAGGAACATGATAAAGCTCCAAAGACTAGTGGTATGGGGATCACGCTGAAAGATAGAGATAAGGCTCCTCCCTCCTCCTTGTCTAAAAGGGGGTGAAAAGGCAGCTCCTCTCATAGGGACTTGTTAGCAGATTATAGGCCCACAGCAAAGGAGCCAGACAAGCGCAAAATTCCTGCTTCTGACTTTGGGTGGAGGAGGGGTCTTCCAGGGGCTGTGAGGAGGTAAGCAGGCCTTAGGCTGGGTAGAGAAGAGGGAGAGGCGTAAGGGGAAGATATGTCAGTTGCCATGCCACAGCTAGGGGGCCTTTATTGGATGTTAAGGGCACATGTAGGCAGGGAGGCAGATGCTAGATGGTGTAGCACACCTTCTCAGGGTGCAGTGGTGCCCGGATGTCCAGTTTGTGGGTCTTGCTGTCCTTATCGATGATCTCCAGCCGCAGTTTGGGTAGACGCTTCTCAGTCTGGGGTGAAGGCAGTTCCGGGCTCTTGAGTAGTTGCTTGTCTGAGTCCTCCACGGTGATGCGCAGAGTGCAGCCCCCTGGCAGTAGGTCCTGCTCGTAGGCAGCTGCCAGCTGGTTCACCACACGGCGCTCTACCTGCAGGTGGTGGTAGGTGAAGTGTCATCACTGCCTCAGCCTGGGCCCAGCCTCTATCACTTCCTGCTACGGCAAGTCAGGGACTTTCTCAGAGCCTCAGTTATCTCATTTGCAAAGTAGGGCTAACAACACTTAGCTTATAGCATTCGTTGTGCTAAAGGCTCAATGATGTCAGTTTCTAAGGCCCCCAGCCATTTCCTACTCTGGGAGGGTTCACTTTGCCACCCTTCAGACAGGGTTTTGTTTGTTTGTTTGTTTTTAAGATAGTCTCACTTTGTTGCCTTTGGTAGAGGGCAGTGGCATCATAGCTCACAGCAACCTCAAACTCTTGGGCTTAAGCAATTCTCTTGCCTCAGCCTCCCAAGTAACTAGGACTACAGGTACCTGCCACAATACCTGGCTATTTTTTAGAGACAGGGTCTCGCTCTAGCTTAGGCTAGTCTCAAACTCGTAAGCTCAGGTGATCTGCCTGCCTTGGTCTTCCAGAGTGCTGGGATTATAGGCGTGAGCCACAGTGCTCAGAACCTAGATAGGGGTTTTACTTGATCATCTTATGTTTTTGGTTCTGAAGGGGCATCTACGCTGGGTGGGAACAATTCCAGCAGCCTGACTATAGAGAGACAGGCTGGCAGCCCAGGGACTGGGTCTGGGAGGCACTGTCAGGGGGGTTTGGAGGTACCTTACTTCTCTCATGCTCCTGTGCTCACCTCATGCTTGATGGAGCGGGCACCATAGTGCACATTGTAGCCATCGACCAACACGTCTGCCACCTCACGGTCCCAGAGCAGTGTGATGTTGTGCCTTTGCTTGGCCTGGGACAAGTCAGATAGAAATGCCTGTGCGTGTGCCCAGTACTTTCCATCTCTTACCACTCTCACCTGAGGCCAGGCCTGGGAGAGACTGCATACCCCCAAGGCCACTGGCCCATGCTCCACCTTTTGGGAGACGGGGGTACTCCCAGTCCAGTGCTCCAGAATTCCAATACCCATCCCCACTCATAAGCAATCCACTCTTACTCTCTTGGCCCAGAAGTTCAGTTCCTTGTTGACTAGTTGAATGAGCTCCGAATGGCAGAAGGGGAGGAAGTAGACGATCTCATTGATCCGCCCCAGAAACTCATCCCTCCGGAAGTGAGCCTGCAGGGTCAGGTTGGGGATGAGGAGAGCTCAGTGACCAAAAGGGGAAAGGGAAATTACTGGACCCCAGTGGGGAAGGGAGCGAGCTTCTATATCTTCAGAATGGCTAAAGTCACATTCCTCCAACCTTAGGGTCTAGCAAGAAGTGCCAAGAAAGACCTCTTACTTTCAGGATTGGGCGGATCACATTCTCCTTGAAGTTCTTTGAGATGGTGATTTTGTCACTAATCTGGACATCCCCTGTGGAGGAAGAATCATAAACTGCTTAATTCCCACACTTAGCTTTGTGTGGGGGCTGTGCCTGCTGCTTAGTGCTACCTATAAAAAGAGCCCTGTTCCTGCCCCTGCCTGTGTGAGCCTGGACAAGGTCTACGACTTTCTGGGCCTTGGCCTGGTGTCCTTGTTTGACAAGGTACTGCTTTCTGAAGCCCTTCCAGCTCTCATGTGCCACAAAACCTTGAGCTCTTAGGGTGGGAGTTGTGTGATGGAGGGAGAGGGAGGAGATGAGTCAGGGCCAAGACTTTGGTTCTTGGCTCTGCACCGATAGCTTAGTGAGTAGGGCGCTGGCCACATACACCAAAGCTGGTGTGTTTGAGCCTGGGCCGGGCCTGCTAAACGATAATGACAACTGCAACAAAAAAACAGCTGGGCATTATGGCAGTTATTCGGGAGGCTGAGGCAAGAGAATCTCTTAAGCCCAAGAGTTTGAGGTTGCTGTGAGCTACGATGCTATAGCACTCTAATGAGGATGACATAGTGAGATAATGTCTCAAAAAAAAAAAAAAAAACCAGACTTTGGTTTTGACCTGGAGGAAGGGGGCTGAAGGTTCAACCCTGAACAGAAAGGTGACAGATAACGCCTCCTGCCTGATGTGCTCCTCATTTTTAGCAGTCTGTAGGGCCTATCCATGCAGGAAACTGCCTCAGATGGATGGAAAAGGCTGTGCCCATTGCCATATAGTTGTTTGTCTTTTTTGTTTTTTGGAGACAGAGTCTCACTTGGTCACCCTGGTAGAGTGCTACGGCATCATAGTCACAGCAACCTCAAACTCTTGGGCTCAACCTCCCGAGTAGCTGGGACTACAGGCACCTGCCACAATGCCTGTCTAACTTTTCTATTTTTAGTAGAGATGGGGTCTCACTCTTAGTCAGGCTGGTCTTGAACTGGAATGCTCAGGTGATCCACCCACCTCAGCCTTCCAGAGTGTTAGGATTACAGGCATGAGCCATTGCACATGGCCTGCCTATAGTTTTTGATCTGCTGTGCCCTCAATATACCAAAGTACCTCTATTTGTTGAGAGTGCATTTCTTTAGTCCCCTAAGATCCTGGCTCCTTCAATCTGGTGTAGCTCTGTCTAACCATGTCTGGAGCCCTGTTATCACCCAATAGACTTGGGGCTTTGTTGAGGAAGTGGAGATAATGTCTCTTTTTGTCTTTCCTCCACTGTTACTTGATATGGTGTCTGCTCAGTGTCAGCTAGAGATAAAGCTGCCTACTACTAGGACCTTCGCTGGGGCGAAGGACCCCAAATCCTATCCTTGCCCCCAGAAGATGAGCCAGTGGCCTGGTTACTGGCCCAGATAGCTCAGGTCAGCCACCATACCAAGGTTTTCAGCAATACGGTTACGGCTCATCTCCAAAGCTTCCTGCCTCAGCTGCAGTGCATGCTGTGCAATCTCTTCACTGGCCACATTGGAGGTCATGATGAAGATGGCATCCTTGCAGTCAATCGTCTTCCCTTTTCCATCTGTTAGCCGACCCTGGGAAGGAAAGGGACTATACAGTCAGGCAGCCATGAGCCTGGGCAGATTGAGCAATCTCAGTCTCAGTTTGGCTCCCCACAATGCTGTGTGCCTCCTCCAAGCCCCAGCAGTGGCTCCCTCCTCTGGGTTTTCTGAGCACTGGACCGCAGAACTCTCTGCCCCGGCTGTACCTGCTCTCCGGCATCTTTCAGGACACCCAACTACCTCTGGCATCCAGAAGGCAATTAGATCACCTGCCCAACACATTTTCCTAGAGGCCCACAGCAAGCTCTGTATTGGGGCAACAGTGGAGACTCACTGTGCCTCCAGCATATTCCTAGTCTAGAGAAGCAGTGAGACCCAGGAAACAAATGATGACAAGTGAGGATGTCGAGTATGATGATAAAGGAAAGCACAGTTGCTGCAGGAGTTCAGAGAAGGGTATTTATGGGGCCATTGTGAGGACTAGCTGTGGTCATACTGCCAAAAGATCTTTGGTAAACTGTGCTGTGCAAATGTTTAGAGCTTATTACCATAGCAGATATAATATACTGAAACAGGCATAATCTCCAATCTCTGGAGCTGCCATCTGGCCTGAGAGAGGGACAGAAAATAAGGTTCCCTGTTCACATTGGAAAGTTTACTTGGAATCTTTAACTTTTTCTAGAACTGAAAGAAAGAGGTATCTATACTGGAGACTAATATGCCAAAGAAAGAGAAAAGGAGTAAACAAAGGAAGAGAAGAGAGAAGAGACAGAAGACCTATACGAGTATAGCATTCTGGGGCCAGTTAGGTCAGAGCTCCACCCATGCAGCAAACCTCAAGAGCACCACTGATTATAATCATCTGAGGTCGGACAATTAAGTTAGTGAACTTATCCTAGACCACAGTGATTTCAGCAATGGGGTATGTAGCACTTTTTGTAGGATGAGTTTGTGAACTTAAATTGTCCAACTTTTGTATGAGAACGTGTTCAAATTCAATAGCTATCAGAGAAATGCAAATTAAAACCACAGTGAGATAGTGCTATGCAGCTACTAAGATTCTTAAAGACTGATAATAACAAGAGTTATTAAGGATGGGGAGCAATGGGAATTCTCATATGGTGCAGGTCAGATTACAAATGGTACAACTACTTTGAAAACCAGTTTTGCATTATGTACTAGGGTTGAATATGCTCTGTGGTAGAGATACAGAGATATGCCATCTAGATTTTTTCCTTCCAGTAAGGACATTTTGCCTAGGGGATATGGTGGCAGACATCCTCCAGATATCAGTTCCTTGAGGGTCTGCCTTGGCTACAAAGATATGCTTCACCCAAGGTCATGGTCTTCCTAAGGTGAATGAGCAAGGCAGGAGTGTAGTTAACCATTTCAGTCTGACACAGAATACAGGAATGGGTTCTACTTATTTCAAAGCTTCACACCAGGTTGGCTCAAGCTTTGGCAGACTTATATTGCAATTCATCTCCCCTTCCCAATCCTACATCTTCTGCCTTACTTTCATTGGGATTGATCCCTAATAAACATCTTGTACTCCCCCACCAAAAAAAAGAGTACCACTGCTTGGCTTGGCGCTCATAGCACAGTGGTTACGGCACCAGCCACATGCCCTGAGGGTGGTGGGTTTGAACCCAGCTCGGGCTAGCTAAATGACGACGACAACTGCAATAAAAAATAGCTGGGTGTTGTGGCTGGCACTTGTAGTCCCAGCTACTTGGGAGGCTGAGGCAAGATAATCGCTTAAGCCCAAGAGTTTGCAGTTGCTTGAGCTGTGACACCATGGCACGCTACCCAGGGCAACAGCTTGAGACAAAGAAAGAAAAAAAAAAGAAGAGTACCACTGCTGAATAGCACTTTACATCATTTATAACAGCAAAGATCAGGGACTTATAGAGAGAAAGTGATGGTGGCAATGGTGACCACTGATAGGGTACTTTTACTTTCTTAACAGGTGTTGTGCTTAGTGTTTTCTGTGCAGTATTTTACTACAACTAGAAAGTAGCTCCTCAAGGGGAAAGACTAGATCTTTCCCATCACTGTATCCTAGACCAATGTCTGGCCCAGAGTAGGTGTTTCCCAGTTGCTTGGTGAATGCCTGAATTCTCACCACCACTCTCAGAGGTTAGGTATAGTTATGGCCCTTATGAAGAAACTGAGGCTCAGAAAGGCTCAGTAACTTGTTCAAGGTGCCATATCTAGAATACAGTACAGCTGAGACTTGAGCTGTCTAACTGTAGAACCCATGCTCTTCCCTCTGCACTGGGCTACAGAGGTCATACCAATGGTGCTGGTTAAGTAAGACCTCATTTTCTTCTCTCAATAAAATTTTCTCAGAATTCTGCCCAATTCAGTTTGCAACCTTTGATCCTTACTGGAGAGAAGCATCTGGGACAGGTGCTAGGGAGGGGCAGACTTGCCTGGGATTTCTTCTGGGAAGCAGACAGAAGCATAGTTCCTGCCAACGTGGGAAACATAGTTCTAGGGACAGATCCCTGACCTCTGCCTGTTGGCTCCTGCCTAGCCAGTGATGTTGGGCCTTGCCCCAGTCTCAGGGTCAGCCCTTGCTTTTAAAGCCAGTGTAATGGCAAACCCACTCCTGTCCCTTAGGGACAAAGCAGAAAGGAATGTGCATCAACTAAACACCCACTGCCTTCGGTGCCTTTTCCAGCTTTGCTTTACACTGGCCTTTGGCACAGGCCTCTGGGAAAGTATTAGTTCCACAGTGGTCTTTTCACAAGGAGCCTGGTGATCCAGGTCCTAGAGCTGGTCACTTTCCTGTTCCTCCCTTGGGATGGGAAAAGGAGAAACAAGGGTGCAAGTAGATGTTCCTGAGCTTTTGCCACCAGCTTTTCACTTTTACCCTTTGCTTATAGGTTTTAATACAACAGAATCCACTGAGAGCAATTCTAGTTTTGGAGACTGTGTGTGACGCATCCAAGCATGTGCATATTATACTGTGTATGTTCCACACTCACTTCGCAGAGCTCATCCCCAAGGACTGAGTTCACATACCGCTGTACTGGCCAGAGCAATAACCCAGCAGCAATTTCATTCTAAGAGATCAAAGCTCTGCTCATAACTGAGCCTGAGGATGGGTCCCAGGTGGGCAAGGGGAGCAGGTGCAGTGCACAACTGACCCAAAGGGTGACTTTCAGCACTCATATCTCCTTCTCAGTTTCCTTGGCAATAAAGAGGTGTCCCAAAGAGGGAGCTATCCCTGTCCTACCTCCTACCAACAACCAGAGCATGTATATGCTAGGTGGGGCTTGAATGCTCACCCCAAGGTTATAAGGTTACTCTCCCATTGTCTCAAGTATAAACTGTTGAAGGAAGAAGAAATGGGTGGGTTTCCTGGGGACCAGTATCTTCCTGGGACTCTTGCCTTGGGCTGTAGGCTCTGCAGTCCAGGCATTAGTCCTGCTTGGTGTTAGTGTCTATAATAGAGTTCTTACTTTTCAGGGCCCCGGCTTAGGAGAACTGGGCTGGGTGGAATGGGTGACTTCCCTCTACCCTTAGCCTGGATTAGATGCCCTCACAGGCCCTGACAATTGCTATTTATCCCTAGTGCAGCACCTACAACAAGGGACTGAGCTGCCTCCTGGCTGTCTGTCTCCCATACTCATTCATAATGCTGAGACAGGGAGGGCCTGCCTCTGTTTGGTTTGTGCCCCCATGGCCCAGACAGTGCCTCATGTATAAACAAACGAGCCGCATTCTGTTTGCCTCCTATCTCTCCAGTGACTCTTCCCTGATAGGTCCTGAGCCTCTGTTTGCAGCTCCCTCTTCCTGTACCCTATTCTCTCCCTGGGTGAGATCTCATCTATTCCTGAGGCTTCCTCTAATCTCTCTGCGCTGAATGATTCTGGAATTGCTATCTTCAGTCAGACCTTTCTTAAGCTCTAGGCTCGTAAAACTGACAAATGTCCTCTCGGACATCTCCGTCTGGGTGTCCTGTAGGTATCTTGCTTTCAGCAATGTCAAACCACAGTGCCTTGCCCTCTTCTCCCATCTGCTGTTCATCCTACAGCTTCCTGGTCATTCAGGCCAGAAACCTGACCACTGATCACCGCTGGCTTCTTCTCTCCTCCTAGTGGTTTTCTTCAGCTTCCTGCCTCGTCAGCAATAGCCTGGGCTCCCCAGTGGTGTCCTCCTGGGGCCCCTTCTCCCTGCTGGTCCACTCTCTACACAGCTGCCTGTAGGAGTTTTGTTGGGAAAAATCTGACCATGTTTTTCTTGCTTAAAATCTTTCAAAGGGGCTCGGCATTTGTAGCTCAAGCAGCTAAGGCGCCAGCCACATACACCTGAGCTTGTGGGTTTGAATCCAGCCTGGGTCTGGCAAACAACAGTGACAACTACAACCAAAAAAAAAAGCTGGGCGTTGTGGCAGGCACCTGTAGTTCCAGCTACTTGGGAGGCTAAGACAAGAGAATCGTGTAAGCCCAGGAGTTGGAGGTTGCTGTGAGCTGTGATACCACGGCATTCTACCCAAGGCAACAACTTGAGGCTCTGTCTAAAAAAAAAAAAAAAAATCTTTCAAAGGTTCCTTACTCTTTGCTGGAGAAATCCACATTCCTGTCCCTGCCATTTGAACTGGGCACTATCTACCTCACTCACCTCATCCGCACCATGCTGTCTTCACTTTCCCTGCTGGTCAAGCAGTGCTGACCAGCTATGGTTCCCTGAGACTACCAGGCTGTTTCATGCTCCACATTTCTGCACATTAGGTTTTTATTGCTGGCCCTATTCCATTCTGTTCATCTAGCACTCACTCATCCTTTGAAGGTTTGCTGAATTATTGTTGGATTAAGTAAGTCAACAGGGGAATTCTTCGGACTTTGCAGGCTCAGGGACTGGCTGGAGTGAACATGACAAAGTCCTGTCCTCAAGGAGCATATCTGCATATATCTGGACAAGTAAACTCGGATGGCAGCTTCGGTCAAAGGAACTGGAGTATCAGAAACTGTAGCAGGTGTGTGTGGGGTAGTGCTAGCTGCAGGGAGTTACTATCAACTGCCTAAAGGGCAGTCAGAGGAGTGAAGCAGTGAAGGAGGGGACAGGGCTCATACGTGGGGCTGTAAACACCTCCCAGATGGAGCTGGTCATATTTCAGTCAGCAGCCACCTTCCCTCTTTCTGGAGGGGAGAATGCCATCAGGGGTACCTCTTTACACATGCAGAGGTCAAACAGGCTGCTATGCTCACCCTCCCTGAGTGGGGAGCACCCATTCTTTGAGCACTTCACTGCAGACTGACCTCTCTCTCTTGGCCCTGGCTGTGTGGCAGCCATTTAAGTTGCAGGCTCTAGAACTGGGCTGCCTGGGTTCAAATCCTCCATTCACCCTCCCCAGCTATGTGCCCGCAGGCAAATCACTTAATCTTACTTTATAAACCTCAGTTTCCATATCTGTTAAATGAAGGCGATAATGATAACTATCCTTGGAGAACTATTGGGAGGATGAAATGAATCAATACGTCATGAATTTCTTAGAACAGCGAATGGCACTTTGCCAACTACTACTATGTCTCCTTCCTACCTGTCTACCAGGCAGAGAGCGCCCAGCGGGCAGGCTTGTATCTGGGCACCTGAATCCCACTTCGAGGCTAGAATGGAGTGGAGTCCTCAGAGTACACATGCGAGTAACTGAGTATGTGACCCCTAAAGAACTGGCCTCTTCCTCAGCAGGGGTTCCAGGAGGCTGGGAGAAGCTGAGGCCCTGGGAAGATAGCAGCAAAATAGGGCCAGGGCAAGAATGCTGGGCCACGTGTAGAAGGCAACAGGCAGCTGGTGGACAGATTTGGATCTGGGTCTTCCTGGCTTAGAATCCAATGCACTGTTTAGTCTGGGGGAATCCATTCCTGTGCCACATGTGACATGGGAAGGAAGCCACCTTCCCATTTTCCCAGGACTGGAGGAGGCTAAATAGAAAGGTGGGCTGGACTCCATCTGGCTAGATGCTGGCTAATGCGGCCACAGCCTTGGAGAAGACAGACCTCATTATGGGTTCAGCCTTTGGATCTCTGTGTTCTTTTTGACAGGACAGGGCCCCTGAAAATGCAGAGGTCATCTTCTCCCAGGACCACAAGCAATCCCTCACCCAGCTCAGGGCAGTGTAGTACAGAGGGCAGAATTTGGGCTCTGGGATCAACCATATCTGTAGTCCAATCTTGGCTCCTTACACAGTAGCTCTGTGGCCTTAGGCATGTCATTAATAACCTCTTTTTTTTTTTTGAGACAGAGTCTCACTTTGTCCCCTCTGAGTGCTGTGGCGTCACAGCTCAGCTCCAGCTCTTGGGCTTAGGCGATTCTCTTAGCTACTCCCAAGTAGCTAAGACTATAGGCGCCTGCCACAATGCCCGGCTATTTTTTTTTTTGTTGTTGTTGTTGCAGTTTGGCCGGGGTCGGGATTGAACCCGCCACCCTTGTGGTATATGGGGCTGGCACCCTACTCACTGAGCCGCAGGTGCCACCCATTAATAACCTCTTTGAATCTATAAAAAATGAGATAATTTCTACCTTACCTGGCTATTAGTGATAATGTCAGTAAACCCTTTAGTACAAATCTAGTATGTAGAATGTACTGAACAGAGATGACTTCTCTCCAGTTAGAGCTTATCTCTACTGGAGGCAGAGGGACTGTCCAGTTTGTGAGGAACCTAGAACTCCTCAGAAGAAAAGGGTTCCACGAGCCAGGGCATTTCCATTTCGTCATTAGCAGTAACAGCAAAAGTATGAACATTATCAAGAACTGGTGGGGACAATGTTTGACACACAGGGAAAATTGCTGTTTGAATCAGAAGGGCTCTTGGAGCTTATCTGATCCAGCCTCCTTGTTTATTACCTGAGGTCCCCAATATCTAGAGATGGTGACGTTTCAAGGCCACAAAGCCAGTCAGGAGTGAAGCTGGAACTAAAAATTCAGGTGTCTTTCTCACAGAACCTCTGCCCCCTATGTCTCTCGAGCAATCAGCCTAGGCAGCCACGACACTTCAACTCTTGGGCAGCACTGGTCTCCCCTTAAGTGCCCCACCCGGGTCTTGGTCCAGAGAGAGGCTAAGTCCCATCTGCTAAAGGACTAAATGTACACATGTGGGGTGCAGCAAATTGAGGCATAACTGGACAGCCTCTGGGCCCGTGCTTTCTGCTGATCACAGCCCTGACACCTCCAGGTGTCCCCCTGCTGCATCCTGGTCCGAGTTGACTCTTACCTCATCAAACAGCTGCAGCATAATGGTGAGCACATCTGGATGGGCCTTGTCTACTTCATCGAAGAGCACCACAGCATTGGGACACTGCTTCAACTTCTTGGTCAGCTGGCCACCCTCCTCGTGGCCAACGTACCCTGGTGGGGACCCAATAAACTTGGCCACCTAGGAGAAGGAAGGAACATTCTAGGAAGACCTTTCTGTGCTTTTAGTTTCCAGTATGGGGCATCTGGGGGAAGGTGGTTTTCTATACTGTTAAGACTGCCTGTCTCTACAAGGGCAGTCAGCTATCGTGTCCTCCTGGTGTGGCAGAATCCTGCTATGATGGGAGGATGACAGATCTTCTTTATGTTTATTCTACAAAGAAATCTTTTTTTTTTTTTTTTGAGACAGAGCCTCAAGCTGTCCCCCAGGGTAGAGTGCCGTGGCATTACAGCTCACAGCAACCTCCAACTCCTGGGCTCAAGCGAGTCTCCTGCCTCAGCCTCCCAAGTAGCTGGGACCACAGGCGCCCGCCACAACGCCCGGCTATTTTTTGGTTGCAGCCGTCATTGTTGTTTGGCGGGTCCGGGCTGGGGATTCGAACCCGCCACCTAAGGTGTACATGGCTGGCGCCTTAGCCGGTTGAGCTATAGGCGCCGAGCCTCTACAAAGAAATCTTATACAACAGATCAGTGGCCCTGCTGCACACCGGTGTGCCCAAGGACAATCCCCAGGCTGCTGGAATTATCTGAAGCCCAAAGACTCAAATGACAAGTTATATGAAATACCAAGGCAGTCAGGGTGACAGGCCCTCCAAAGCACACTTTACCATAGATTCTCACTCACCTCATGTCGCTCCTGGAACTCAGACATGTCCAGTCTGATGAAGCCCTGTGTGGAAACAAGAGGCACCAAGTCCATTTGGGGGTAGGAAGGTAGAGAGAAAGGTTAAGGGTGGGAACATCTCAATTATCCCCAACGCTTTCAAACCGCATCAACCCAAGATCTATTTCATTCTTAGGACATGCCTCCTTTTCTATCCACTTACCTTCCACATGAATCCCTCATTCTCTACCTTTCTAGAGCCAAATTATGTCTCTGACCTTCTAAATATGACTCAGAATGTCTTCTTTCAGGTACACACCCATCCATCCCACATTTCCTGAGGGCATCCTGTGTGTGCTGGGCACTGGACCTACATATGAGATGGTGTCCTTGAGGAGCACCCCTCCGAGTGGTGCAGACATGGACAAAGTCAATCATCAGCAAAGTGAACTGTGACGAGCAATAAATACCCAGATGGTTCTTTAGTGCCCTGCAACTTTGTAAATGTGTGTGGGGCACACGTCCTTTTGTTTTAGTTTTCTTTAAAATGAATACATTTTTAAACTTACACTTCTTCATTTCATTTAAAAGATAGCCATAATGGTACTTGCAGCCCTTTTCTTTCCACCATTGGGCTTAGAGGTGATTTCTAAAGAAGTGGCCCCCTGGAGTTAAGTGCCATATTTAACCCCAGGGGAAGAAAATACCTAATATGTGTGACTTAAAGAGTTAGCACATGTGGAAGGTCCACTCGTTTTCATGAAGAATTAACTGCTTGGGGAGTTATGAGGGCATTCACAGGTGCCCTATCTATCCAGCCAGACCAGGTCTACCCCCTCCCCCACCAGCTCTTGTCCTACTGACGCATGCTTCCAACATAGGGACAGCACACACTGAATGCTGCTTCTCTTGAGAACTGGGATGACAGCATGATCTTGAGAACCTCAGAAGGGGTAGCTAGCTTGGCCACTGGTCAGAAATTCACTCAGTCATGTATTTTTAGTTCCTTCTCTGCCCTATCACTCTGTACCTCAGGTACAGGGTGGTGGGAAAAGCCCTGGGGTTCTATCCTGTGGGCTGTGGACATGCCACCCTTTTGAGCTGCAGTTGTAACACAGGCCTTTGGCTCCTCTTCCTGCCTCAACAGGGCCTGATGAGAGGACCTGATCCAAGATGCGGGATAGGGCTTAGAATAGTTATTAAGGTCACACGGGGCAAGCACTGCTATCAGGGGGTTTGGGGCAGAAGCCAGCATTATTCCAGGAGGGTCCCCAGGAAGCTCAGCCAAGAGATATGCAGGCTTCAGGAAGGGTGGGAGGAGGGCAGTGAGGAAAAAGGGAATGTTGCCCAGGGGGAACAATGAGCTGGAATCCACAAGATGGGTTTCTAATTACTAATAGCTGACATTCATTGGGTGCTTACTATGTGCCTAGCAAAATGTTCTAAGCAAGCTAAAGGGGCTTAGAACATATGTTAGTCTATGAAGTAATGATTGTTATCCCTACTTTACAGATGAAAAAACTAAGTCAAAGATTAAAATAACTTGCCCAAGGTCACCCAAGCTTGGCAATCTGGCTCCAAGTCTGTGTTCTTAGCCATTACGCTATGCTGCCTCATATTTTCCTTTCTCCCAATCAGCTGGGTTCTTGGCAGTCTTCACCTGAAGGGGTTGAGCTTTGTGCCCAGATGTCAATCAGGATACAGGGAGTACAGTACAGACTCTAGTGCTTACTTATGTCAAATGACGTGGGTTCTCATCCTAGTTCTGCTAATGACGTTATGTAACTTTGAACAAGTCTTTGGGCTTGATTTTCTTGGCTGGAATCATTTTAGTTTTATGTGATTAATTTGGGGTTATCTACAAAGTGAGGCAACAAAAATAATAGCAATATCCAACATGTACTGATTATTTACTATGTACTGAGAATGGTGTTTAAGATTTTTTTATATTATCTCATTTAACCCTCCTGATAATCCAACAAGATAGAATTCCTTATTGAACCTATTTTACAGATGAGAAAACAGATGTAAACAAAGGTTCTGGCCAACTCCACCTAGAGGGGTGGAATTGGGATTTGAACCCAGGCACGCAGATACCTGCTCCTCCTCCCTTCATCTTACTGCCATTGTAAAAGCAAGTCTTTTGGGCTGCATCACTTTAACTTGAGATGAGCTCACAGGACACCATTAAGTTGTTTCTCAAGGATTGATAACCTTAGTGATGAAAGCTGCTCAATGTGGGAGGAAGAACACACAGAGAAGAAACTAAGCTCAAAGGCAGATCTGAGAAAGAAATTATGTCAATGTGGGGTGGCACCCATAGCTCAGTGGAAAGAGTGCCAGGCACATATACCCAGGCTGGTGGGTTTGAACCCGGCCTGGACCAGCTAAATAACAATGACAACCGCAACAAAAAAAATAGCTGGGTATTGTAGTGGGCACCTGTAGTCCCAGCTACTTGGGAGGCTGAGGCAAGAGAATTGCTTAAGCCCAAGAGTTTGAGGTTGCTGTGAGCTGTGATGCTGGAACTCTACCAAGGACAACATAGTGAGACTCTGTCTCAAAAAAAAAAAAAAAAAAAAATTAAAAAATAAAATATATATAATGTGCAAATAATGCTTTGCGAGGCAGCAAAGTCTAGAGGTTATTAGTGACTCTTCACAAATGAGGAAACTAAGGATCATAGAGCTATAACTAGAATTCAAGTCACTGGACTCCTATGCCAGTGCTCATTTCACTTCTTCAGCCATCTTGAGAGGCAAATGAAAGAAAGCTCCTATTTGGTAAAAGCCTATTTTACATGGGCCCTGTATGTAACATTTTCCATACATCACTCCTTAGGTCCCGGAGATGTCAGGTGCACTGGTTAGATAGCTTAAAGTCTAAGACTCTCTCAGATTTTGAAGATAAGTCTCAAATATGCCTGTCACATGGCCAGAAAATGTCTATGCTAAGTACAGATTCTGTAACTAGTTGGCCCACAGAGCTCGTACAGGTAGAAGTTTTACAGAAGCACTAGTTATGATTTAAAAAATAAAATACATGGATTTATTCTTACACCTCTCATCTTCCTATATGAAATGGGAACAAACCAACAAATTTACAACCTAGCCTCCAAGGGCAACTGAGAACAATGGTATTGAATGGGAAGTTGAGAGACTGGGTTCTAGTTTTACTTCTTCTCCTAACAGTGACTTTGGACAAGCCTCTTAATGCTGTGGTGGCTCAGTTTTCTCGTGTGAAAAGTGGGTAATTTATCATCTATGCTATTAATATTTTCCTCAGAGGATCAAATAAGATAGTAGATCGGGTACTGCTGAGGAAAGTATGAGGTGATGTATAAATACAAGTCAAGAGAGTAGACTTACTGTGTGTGTGTTCCTGAGCTAGATGCAACTCATATTACCTGACCTGTTCACAATAACCTCAGATACAGGATTGGATAGCTTTACTTTGAGGCAAAAAGCTGAATGCTCGAGGGGTAAGATAATCTGCCTATGGCTGGTACAAAGCAGGACTGGAATTTGAGCCAAACTGGACTGGAATGGGTGGCTCCAAAGCTTTGTCCACCACAGTCCACTCCCTCCAAGGGATAATGGTGTTGCTTCCGTCTAGGGGAGGCAAGTATTAGAAGATGCCATTCATCACACCTTTAGGACATCCTGCTCTGGTGTAAATCTGTCTCCCATTTAGATGGGCCAACTAAAAAATTACACGCATTATCAGTCTTTTAATAAGCCCCTTCTCCTTTCTACAGCAGCAAGTGAGCAGATACTTTCCTTCTACTCCCACTGTGTATGAAGACATATGAAGGGAGCTTGGATAAGGAGATTATAATTTGTAATTAAATATTAACCTTTCTGACAGTATTAAAATTAAACCACTCAGAATTCTTCATCCCTAATCAGGTGGTTCCTGCCCGTAACTGCATCTTCCCTAATAGTCCTGCTACTTTATGGCCCTTTCCAGAGTGCTAATTGTTTCAATCGCTGCCAACCTGATGAATTGTCTTAAAAATGCTATTCCAGTTGGAGCATATTAGCAGCTGCGTGCTGCTCCTTGCCTGCCTGCCTGTCAAGTGGGTTTGCTCTGGGTTTGGCTGAAGCACAACACAGCTACTGGCAGAGCCCGGGAGGCTTAGAAGCCGTCAGTTATTAGGCAGAGAGGGGGCTCAGAGGGACACTGTCTGAGCTACCTTGTTTCTGTGGCTGCCCAAGGCTAAGTGGCCTCATAGGCAAGAGCATCTGGGCAACCTCCGGCAGTGGGCTGGGGTATCTTAGCCTGAACAGTGGGAAGACCGACAGGAGGTTTGGGTTTAGTAGAAATGCTGCTTTGTTCTCTCTGAGGTTTGCACTCTTGATGAAAGTACTTTTTTTCTTTTTTTTTTTTTGAGACAGAGTCTCACTTTGTTGCCCTTGGTTGAGTGCTGTGATGTCATAGCTCACAGCAACCTCAAACTCTTGGGCTCAAGCGATTCTCTTGCCTCAGCTTCCCAAGTAGCTGGGGCTCTAGGTGCCCACTACAACACCCAGCTATTTTTTTGTTGTTGTAGTTGGTGTCTGGCAGGCCAGAGCCGGGTTCAAACCTGCCAGCCCCTGCGCATTTGGCTGGCTCCCTACCCACTAAGCTGTGGGCACTGCCAATGAAAGCACTTTTTTTTTTTTTTTTTGAGACAGAGCCTCAAGCTGTCCCCCTGGGCAGAGTGCCGTGGCACCACAGCTCACAGCAACCTCCAACTCCTGGGCTCAAGCGAGTTTCCTGCCTCAGCCTCCCAAGTAGCTGGGACCACAGGTGCCCGCCAAAACCCCCAGCTGTTTTTTGGTTGCAGCCGTCATTGTTTGGCGGGTCCAGGCTGGATTCAAACCTGCCACCTTAGGTGTATGTGGCTGGCGCCTTAGCCACTTGAGCCACAGGCGCCGAGCCTGAAAGCACTTTCTGTCAGCCTAGAAAGTCAAACTGAGCAGGCCTGGGTAAGCCCAATGGTGAACAAATAGTGGATGCAGATGGCTCTCTCCTCTAGAGATCTAGGGATCTAAGCCACAGGGGAAGGAGGACTATAGGCACATAGGCTTGAGGAATAAAAAACTATGTTTAGGGTTGGTGTCCATTGCTCAGTGGTTAGGGCGCCAACCACATACACCAAGGCAGGTGGGTTCAAACCTGGCCTGCACCTGCTAAGTAACAATGACAACTGCAACGACAAAAAAATAGCCAGGTGTTGTGGTGGGCCGTGGATGCAATGGCTGGACCAGGGCTAACAGGCGTAGTAGCCTCTAGTCCCAGCTACTTGGGAGGCTGACACAAGAGAATCGCTTAAGCCCAAGAGTTTGAGGTTGCTGTGAGCTGTGACATCACAGCATTCTACTGAGGGTGAGATAGTGAGACTTTGTGAAAAAACAAAATGTTTAAAAGTTCATGCAGGATGGTGAGAAGGCATAAGCCATCTTCTTAACCTACTTTTTCTCTTACAGCCTCTAAGACTCTCTCTAACACAGCCTTGACTTCACCGGACAGTAATGGTGTGTTCCTAAAGCTGCTTCCCTCTCCAGCCTGAGCTTTCCAGGGCTGGGTGAGTGTCTTATTAAACAGCATCTAGTATAACACCTGGCACAGGGTAGATGCTTGAAAATGTTGTGTGGGTGAATCTTATTTGGTTCTTTTAGGAGCCCCAAGACTTAGGCAGGGCAAAGAATGCTATTCCTATTTCATAGAAGAAGAAACTAAAGCACAAAGAAGTGGGATTACTTGCTCAAATTCCTGGATCCCTGGAGCAACTGGTGGTTAATTTGGGGCCAGACCTGAGGCCTGCTTTCCAGGCCAGGGCCCATCTTTTTGATTGGCTATTTCCAGATTCAGAGCCTCAGGTTTTTTGAGATAGCAGGTCTCCATGGCCTACAGATCAGGCCTAGGTCCCAGCTCTTACCTTTTTGGCATCTTTGTGCATATATTTGGCTGTCTGCTTGGCCAGCTCTGTTTTTCCTGATAAGAAAGAAGGGAGAGGAGCTGGGTTAGAACCAGATGACTATCTGCTAGAAAAAAAGAATACTAAAATGCATAAACACTGGAAAGAATATATTCTATGGATGGGAATGTTGAGGCTCAAGAGAGGGTCAGCGACTCTTTCAAAGTCACCTAAGGAGTTCATGATGAAGCTGGGACTAGAATCAAAATCTGTACTATATCTTGATTTTTCTGTGGATGGAGATTGAGGCCTTTTCTCTGTAGCAGAATCCTAGAGAATCCTAAGAGTATGAGGCTGGCTCTTACAATCCAGGGCCAACTTATCCTTTGGAGTCTAGCCCAAACCTTACCTCTCCTAGGAGTGCCCTGACCTCCTGGCTTACCGTCCTACATCTCTTTCCATACTCATGGTCCTATTATTCAGCCAGGCCCTGGAATCACTTGCCAAATAGAGGCTGGGAGGGAGGGAGAGTACTTCTCACTGGCTTCACAGCCCTTCTTCATAACGTAAAGAAGGAAAGACAGTACCGAAATGGTGGCTCTGAAGAGCAATTTGGTATGATGGTAAAGCCTTTGGAAGTCACTGTCTAGTCTAGAAGTTTTAAGGTTCTATAGTATTGTAGTTAGGTGGTGGTAAACTTTGGGTCTCTATATACAAGGGAGAAGCCCAAAAAGATGCTGGGAAGGAAAGAGGAGGCAACTAAAGAGGAAGTGGAAGAGAGCGGGGCTCTGTGAGGGCCAAGAGTGAGAAGGTGAGAACGCCTCAGATAATCTAGTCCAGTTGGCTAGAAATACACCTAACTTATTTTACTACAACCAATTTTTCTATGCATCTGAAACTATGCATCTAGGCACTATGCACCTGGCACTTTTACTTCTTAAAGTTAGGCTGTATTGAACATGGAAGGCATGCTAGGCAGAAGAGGTGCTTCAATTGTTCCTGAAGGGTGGGGTTCCATGGATGCAACGGCTGGACCAGGGCTAACAGGTACTGTAGGGCCTGGTCCTCCAGATGAAATAGTCTTTGTACTATAGCTTCTAGAAGGAGAGGTATAATTCCAGTTCTTGATAACAGAATAGATGGTAAAAAAACACAGAGTCCTCTTTCTTGGGGACTCTGTAATTTGGAGGAAGTTGTTTTTAGAGCTAGGAGTTGAACTAGAGGGGGGTCATGTAGCTCTGGCCCACGGCAACTGAGGCTGCCAGGCTTGAGCCCAGTACTCCCCCATCTCTCCTTCCCCACTGGCTGATCTGTTCCCAATTACCTATTCCAGATGATCCCAAGAAGAGGAAGACCAGAGGGTGTTCTTCATCATACCAGCCATTCTCCTTCCTCCGGATCGCTATGGCCAAACACACAGACGGGGAGGGAAGCAGATAAATCAATGACACAAAAGGCAGGATAATTATCACTAAGTATACAATATGTTTTACTGCTCTGCGCCCACTCAAAGTCCTCACTACCATTAGTGCTGCCTAATCTGATTAGCTGGCAAGGCCCCTAGAGACACCTAATCAGGTTAGCATGGATTTGGAAAGCTGCCCAGAGCAGATTTCGGATAAAGTTTTCCAGGATGAGCACTCAGCGTTGCCAGGGAAACTGAAAGGCGGGTGGATGGTGAATGAAGTAAAGGGGGGTGGGGGAATTGGTGAAGGAGAATTCAAGAGGAACTTTAGCACCCACTGGTTACCATCTACTTATCATGGTGGGAGTGTGGGCCTGCCTCCTATGCAAATAGGAGAGGAAGAAGCCCCCAAGCAGGGCCTTGGGGATCTGGGGTGTGAGCTCTGGGGTCTTTCCTATTTGGGTAAATGAATGTCTGGTTTACTGTCTAGATCAGGAAGTGGAAATATAGCCAAATGCATTTCCTGGAAACAAATCAAAGGCAGTGTGCAGCTCAGGGCATGGAAGGGGTAAGCCATTTGGTTAGCATCTCTGCTAACCATGACCTCCAGCAGCAAGAGGAGGGGGAAGTGTGGGGAGTAAGACAGAACTGTACTAGTTTCCTTGGGGACTCAACTCTGCTAGAACAAGACTTGACCCATGCTCTTTGAGAGGAAGTATGTTATCAAGGGCTATGCATTCAAAGTGAGAAAACTAAGTGCTTTACTATAGAATGGGAGAATTGGGCTCAGAAGGATCACTCAAGTATAGGAACAAGAGGTAAAGCTGGGTGTGGTGGTTCAAGCCTGTAGTCCCAGTAACTTGGAAGACTGAGATGGGAGGATCACTTGAGGCTAGGAGTTCAAAGGTTGAGGATCATTTGAGGCTAGTCTTGGCAACATAGTGAGACCCTATCTCTAAAACAGTTAAAAAAAAATGCTGTATGTTACTTAAAATCAGAAAATTCACCAATAATGTATTTATTCAAACACTCTGAAAGGGAAGTATTATTGTCAACTCCATTATATTGAACAGGAAACTGAAGCAACAGATAAAGAGACATGGCCATGTCACCCAATCAGTAGATGGTAGAGTTGCTTCTCTCTCTAAACCTGTCCTCTTTTTTAAAATCACATACGGCTATTTATAAAAGTGTCTATCAATTTGGGTTGCATTAATGGAAGCATGGCAGTCAGCAGCAGGAAGGAGACAGAGCACTGTGTAATGTCAAACTCAGTCTGCAGATGGACCGGCATGTCTGGTCTGGTCCCCAGAGTGTTGGGGGGAAGATTAGCAAAGGGCCTGGATAAAACCTGGAATCCTAGTCAATCAAGAATGAGTTGACAGTCTTAGGGATGTGCTTGCTGGTCTTGAGGTGCCAAGATCCTGAATGCTATACACTGTGTGACTGGGTTTCAAAGAAGTGACTGCAGAGGTCAGGGAAGGCTCCCTGGAAAAGGGGGAACTGATGATGGATTATGGAGGCTGGGCAGGATTTGGCGGTGGCCATGATAGAGATGCAGACAGGAATGAACAAAGAGTAGTGGTGGATGGATTCAGATTATGAAGGTCTGAAATACCTGTTTTAGGATTTCAGCTGCATGCTTGGGGTTTTTCTCACCTCAACCTCTAATGTTGCTACCTAAGCACTACTTTTCTTTCTAGTTCTGGCCTCAGCAGGAACAGATGGAAGCTGTGCAACCTCACGGACATCAGATACCCACTTGGGCTGCCCAGAAGATGCTATCTGAGCATCCTGAAAGAGAATGGGAAAAACAGTCCAGCCTTTCCCCAGGGCTAGAATCCTGATCTTCTCTAAACTAACTGACCCAGGTTCCCTGGAAGGGTTGGCTATAAGGGGAACCTGCAAAATTTTAGGTACCTGAATGCTGGAGATGAAGGGGAAGAAGTCCGAGCCTGGCTGAGGGAAGAGTCCTTGGTGTTGGGACACAAACAGGGAGCTGGGGGTAGGGATATTTGGGAAAGTGACTGTAGTAAAATGGCAAAGACTAGACTGTTGTGGATGCTATGTCCACTATGTTGTCCACACGTGTGGACAAGTGATTATGTGTTTTGGGGTGAGGGTTACCCCCTTCCCAACTGAAAGGAGGCATATTCTTCTAAAAGTTGGCTAAACTGAGAATCCAGGCTGCAAGAAGCTGAGCATGAACTGTGTTCAGGCTTCAGGAGAGGCAGATGTACCCAGGCATCCCCCTAGGTGGTCTGGGAAGAACTGGGTTCCCCAGGGTATTGTGTCCCTAAGGTTCTGATCTTGGCTTTTCTTTCAGCGTAGCATCTCAGCCCTCTAAGAGCTGCACATTGCTGGGCTGTGCAGTACAAAAAATACCACGGAGAATGTGGAATTGAATTATGCCTGGGGCCATCTTTTCCCCCTTCTTTTCTAATAATGCACCTGGGAGAGAGCTCTTTATAATGCCAGGCAGACTCCACTGCACAGCTGTCCCTGACCAATTCTGCCAGATCCAGGGCACGAGTCTGGGGTGGGCTTGATATGGGCCCCCCATAAAACAGGTAAAACGCCAACCATTAAACAATTACAACTCTGGATATTTCTAATAATACTGAAGAGAAAAACAGCCAAGCAGATGGAGTCCGACAGAATGAAAAATGGAGGCAGCTAGGAAGGACTGGAGAAGGTGGGCCTCCAGTATGTGTGGCTGGCAGGGTGGCTGAGGATCAAGGCTGGGAGCCTTGAGGGGCCTCTCAGGTCAGAGTAGAGGCTGGGGCATGTGGGATGAGGCCACAGGCGTTAGTGCTCTCACTGTGGACCAGCACACACACAACTTACTCTGTAGCACTTCACAGTCTATAAAGAACTTCCATGGTCATAATTTCATTTCAGCCTTTTTAGCAGAATGAGGGGGCTTGATTCCCATTTTATAGATGAGGGGACATGTACAAAGAAGTTAGGTTACCTGCTCAATGTTACACAGGTAAATAAACGAAGACCCTATGCTTTTAACTCTTGGACCTGCACTATACTTCAGGAGTTTACAGTAAGGAATGAGCTCACCCCTGCTGGCTTTTAGCTGCCAGAGTACTTCCTCATATCCTTGCCTCACCTGGAAGAAATTCCTTCTGTGGTCTTTCAACTTGACCTGCTCAGCCTTTCAACACATGGCCTCAGGGGCCCCTGTCCCCAGACCCTACCCTGACCATCACCCTGGGCTTGAGATGGGGTCAGGGCCATCTGCATAGGCAGCGTGGCCCCCTTCCCAGGCCAGACCCATCTCTGCAAGGGCCAACTAGGCTCCTCTGCTTCCCATACTGTGCCAGTGCCTGCTTTGCTGGTTTTGTGCCTTCCAGCCAAATCTATCACTACTGGGCCATCTTAAAGTTCATGTGCAAAAACTTTTTCCCATTAACTCCACCACATCACATCTACCCTGTTAACCCAGAGGGTAGGAGTTACAGGATCTAGCTTATAGTCCTGCCAATGTCACTTACTAGTTGAATGACTTTGAAAAAAATAACTCCTTTAGAGCCTCAGTTTCTTCATCTATAAAACGGGAATAGTCACACATGCTGTGTCAGTCTCACATGAAGATTAAATAAGTTAATGGCTATGATGGCAATTTTAAGTTGCAAGGAGTTTCAGAATAATAAGAGTAAAAATAACAGTAGTCACAGAGGTAGCAATGGTAGTGCCATTAGCTTTCTGGTATTTTACAGATACTTATCCTTATAATATCCTGAGAAGGGGGTGTTATCTCTACTTTGTGGAGGCAGGAAGAGATTGAGGCTCAGACAGGGCTAGTGTGAGAGTTTACCCCTGCCTGGACCCCTGTGCTCCCATATTCCAGGGGAACAGGTGCTAGGTGTTCTATTTTCCTGAGGGGCTCCTGAGACTAGATGCACACTGGTTTAATACTTGCTATAAATGAATTACTTTGTGGTCTTTCTAGAACTGCATGGGGGTGGGGCGAGAATAGATAATTTAACTCTCATTTTACAAAAGAGAACAGTGAGGCCTGGTCCCAAGAGTCTCTTTGTGCTCTCAGTGCTTCCTACTACCCTTGGGTGAAGAAGGCTTCCACTCTCTCCTGAACCCCTCTCCAGGGAGCCTTATGTACTTGTTGAGCAAACAAGCTCTGTGCCAGGTCTGGGGCACCCACAAAGGGGCTGAAAATAAGGCTTATTACTTTGCAGTAAATGCTGTTGTGAAAACTGTGTGTTCCAAATGGGGTGGGCACACTGGGAGGAGTATGGGAAAAACTATTTGTGCCTGCTTGACATTTGCGCCTGGAGGGTGAGGGGGAGACTGCCAGGCAGTTGGGGATAGGATGGACATTCTAGGAAGAGGGCTCCACCGTATGCAAAACAAAGAGGCGGCTCAGCGCCTGTGGCTCAAGTGGCTAAGGAGCCAGCCATGTACACCCAAGGTGGCAGGTTCGAATCCAGCCTGGGCCTGCCAAACAACAATGACGGCTGCAACCAAAAAATAGCCAGGTGTTGTGGTGGGTGCCTCTGGTCCCAGGTACTCGGGAGGCTGAGGTGGGAGACTCGCTTGAGCCCAGGAGTTGGA